GGGGGGGGGGGGCGCTTAGCTAATTTCCACCAAATATGAGAGGGAATAAAAAATTCTATTTTCATACCAATTGAAAAATTACTTTAAGTTAAGCATTCAATCACAGCTGACCTAGACCACCTCAGGCCTTGCCTAGTTCAACATAACCAGTTACTCATATCTCCTACAGGTGAGGTAACATTTCTATTCTTTCCAAGTGCTGTCATGAATAGTGAGCCCACTTAACCCTTCAGATGACTGTGAGGCAGGCAGGGTGGAGATTGTTAGAGGACATATCTCGGAAGCTGTAAATGACTCGCCCAGGTTCCCAGAGCCAATTGGTGCAGAGAAGGAGCTCTACAGAGTTGCTCAGTGCACCACATTGAAAAGTGACTGTTGTCTTCCTGGGCCAGGGTGTATACTTAACATCCTGACCATGTGTCAGAGCTTGCATTCTCCTCAGAAGCTACCACTGGCAAAATAGGTCAGCCTTAACACAGGTATTCCAAAAGGCTTGGTGTTCTCTTCACTTTGGTGTCACTAATAAGTCAAGAAAATCTTCAGGTTTTCCCTAAGTCTCACCAGTGCCCCAAATTTCAAAGGGCTGGGCTTAGCACACAACGATGGCATGAAGTCCACTTGATCTTTTCCATCTTCCAACACACACACACACACACACACACACACACACACACACACACACACACACACACACAAATAACCCCCTCCCCTGAAGCCAACAAAAGCATAATAACGACAAGAAGCAGAGCTTATAAATTTCCATTATGCTTAATGCCTGATTTCACGTAGTTAATGGATTCATTTATTAGAGCAATTTGTGTAAATCCCCGAGGGCCTGCTGAGACTGCTGCCTAATAGTTTTATCACGTCATAGGCTTCCTTTATGCCTACCCTCAAACAAATACTGGATTGGCAAGGAACTATGGACCAACCACTGCTTAAAATATCGGTAAATTATAATGAAGCAAAAAAATAAAAATAAGGGCTTTTCGTGTCTCTAGGGTTTCCTTCAGCAACAAAAGGGATTTCTTTCTTTTTTTTAAGTTTCAGCTGATTCATAAATGCTGCTTCTACAGTCTATCAATTTCACACTGACTCAAAGCTTACTTTCAGGAGTCAATACGTCCTGATCAGGTTTCCAGGTATGGATCTGCACTAAGCGGTGATGGAGCAATCTGAAGTCAGTACAACCACCCCATTACTAACCCTCCTACTGAGGGGAGAGGCAGAGAGCAGAGTCTCAGCCTTGCATAACCGCAGGCTGCACCGTAATCAGGAAGGAGGGGATGCCTGCTGGCCTCCAGCAGAGGTTGTTTGGCTGGAGAGCGTCCCACAGTGACCAAGTCCAGGAATGGGAGCATTAGTATAATCCTTGGCCAGAGGTGGTGCCTCCAACCTCAGTCAGCCTTCCCGTGCATCTGTTCCCCTTCACCCCAACAGGATAGAAGCAAGAATGCAAACAGATAGAGCCAAATCCATCCCCAACACTTAGAAAACATCTTAATGGAGACTCTCCACGGATGTTGGGTCTAAAAAGGAGGCCGATCTTAACACACACAACCAGGGCCACGGGGGACTTCCATTTGAGAAAACCCAGGGACGACAAGAAACAATTCTGCCACTAAAGACTGATGATACAAATGGCTATTTGTACAGTTAAATGTCAACACTAGTATATAATTACTACCCCCTGCAACAAATTAATGACATAACATAGTAAGTGCTTGGAAAAAAGTCGATAAAACAAAAAATATTGATGATCTCTTAGTTGTATTTTAAGGAAGGGGTATCTTTTAAGTGTTATATGCTAACGGAGAGGCGATGGTTGAAGAGATCCATGTTTGGAAGAACTAAATTGCTTTATCAGAAGGGCCAGAAGCAAGTGGAGTGAGAGGGAGATTGTGAGGCTGGGTGGGAAAAGGGCTGAGTAGAGAGACAGAATGAGAGAGAGAGAAAACAGAGGTGGACAGAGACATAGAGGCTGAAAGAGAAGGGTTTGGAAGAAAGAGTGAGGGTTTGGGAAGGAAACACAATGTGCTATGCAAGGTAAAGTCTGCAGTCTTCCCTGTGAAATCGACGGAAATAGAATTAATTTTCTACCTGGTATTGTACTATGTGAAAAGAGCTGGACAGAGTTTTACCAAATGTAAAGAGGATATTTGGGGTCGTCTTTAAATACAGTTTATATGATACATGCAAAATTCTCTTTGGGGTCCATGGAAGGACTTCAAACTATAACTGAAACTGGGGATAGTGTGACTGGTCCATATGGCTACAGATTGGAAGAGATGTACCAGAAACATTAAAATGCCTGGAGCAGAGGAAGCAAATGGAGGCTTCCAACACAAATCCTAATTCCAAAATCACCTGGACAAATTATCCAAATTGTTGTCTTCATTCATGGTGGAATTAATTTCTGTAGAGTAGTTCATGAGGCTGTTCCAGGGATGGATGGATGGATGGATGGATGGATGGATGGATGGACCGGTGGATGGATGGATGGTGGGTGGATGGATGGGTGGATGGATGAGTGGATGGGTGGGTGGATCGGTGGATGGGTGGTGGGTGGATGGATGGGTGGATGGATGGGTGGACCAGTGGATGGGTGGATGGGTGAGTGGATGAATGGTGGGAGGATGGATGGGTGGATGGGTGGATGGATGAGTGGATGGGTGGGTGGATGGGTGGATGGTGAGTGTGGAGAGTGCAGGAGGCTAGCTGGCCTTCTGTGACATTCACAGGGCTCCTTAACACCTAGCAATGTGGGTTCTCCTGGAAATAAGGAGATGCCTGGAGTCCACTGCCAGGCTGGCATGGGGGAGAAGTGGAGGCTGGTGGTGGTGGTAATAACCAACATCTGGGTCACAAATAAATAACTTAATTTTTGGCTGAAACCACAGATAGTAGTACCAAGCCCTATATACCACATTTTCCTATATATACATACTTAGGATAACCTGTAATAACTAAATTGGGCACAGTGAGAGATTAACAACAATAGCTAAAAATAAAATAGAACGATTATAACAATATACTGTAATAAGAGCTAGGTGAATGGCTTTGGGACCATTATGAAGTAAAATAAGGTGGCTGAACACAAGCACTATGATACCACCACAGTCCATCTGATAACTGAGCCGGCTGCTGGACAAAGGGCGATTCATGTCCTGGGTGGGACAGAGCAGGACAGTGTGAGATTTCATCAGGCTACTCAGAGCGCTGCACAATTTAAAACTTAAGAACTGTTTATTTCTGGAATTTTTCATTTCATATTTTCAGACCACAGTTGGCCGTGGGTAATTAAAACCACAGAAAGGGAAACCGTGGATGGGGGGGCACTACCATAACACTGCAGTACTGGTGAGGTCACGGAACCTTTTCTTGGTGATTAAAGGCAAGTTAGGGCTTTGTTTCAAGAGACCCATTTTGAGGCTCATCTCTGCCTCTTACTAGCTGTTGACCTTGGATGGACCACTGAACATCTCTAAGTTTTGGCTTCATTTTATTTTTTAAAAATGAGGGTGATACGAGTGTCTGTTTCAAAGGGTTACGGTGAGCATTATATGAGTCAACCTCTAGCCCAGAATACATTAATAATTATGATGATCATTACTACTATAAGGCCGCTTGATAAACCAACGTGTGCAGTCAGCACCTACTCACACTTATGAGGGTCCCACGTTAGTGTCCTGGTCTCTCCGCCTCTTGCCCTTTAGTCACCAGCATGTCATTCTCCTAAATGGTGGGGACAAATAGATGCTTTAAAATTCTAGAGTTGATTGGCTTTGCTTTCTAATCCTTAGAGGTGTAATTGATACATTTTTACACTAATATATTATAAATTTACATAGAGTGGGTATATATAACATTAGAGGATTATAATATGCAATTTGGTGGTTTCTGTGTCATAAGTATGTCTCCTTAGACAATAGTTAGGACAAAGATGGGTTTGTACAAGGGACACCTTCTCTGTGTGATAAGGATATGTGGAGAGCTGTGGAAGCAGGCAACTGGCATGCCCTTCATAATGATCTGCCTCCAGAAATTTCCCTTGGTACAGTGTTTGCCCTTTAAAAACCCCATGTAACGCCCCCACGCGCCCTTCCCCAGTTCCAGGTCCGTTCCCACCAGCAAACGCGGAATTTTCCTTTACACATTAACCTGCGGCTGTCTCCGTGCGTGTCCTCCGGGCCTCGAGGCCGGGCTCTCTGCTATCTCTGCACCTGGACCTGGCGGTACCCAGTCAAAACAGTGGGAGGGTGGAGGGCAAACCTCAGCCCGGCCTCTCGGTTTTTGTGGGTTTCAGCCGGACCCCAGGTGTTATTTTAGTGCAACTTTGGTATTTAATTTGAGGATGTGTGTGGATCAGAAGGAGAGACCAACACATTATTTTTTTTTCCCTTGGCCAAATGATTAAATTTAAAGTTCTAAAAAACGCACAGCTTGATCCAAAGCTGTGGCCAATTGGGAAGTGAGAAATGCCCCAACAATCCCTCCCATGCCCTGACCATCCGTCCTTAACCACCGGCCACCGCACGGGCCCATTACTGTGGGCATTGCCTGGCCGGTCTGTGGTTCGCAACCCACCAGAGCCCTGCGCCCAAGGCTCTTTCCCTTCCTGAAGGTGTACGTTGCACCTTTGCTGGATGAACATTCCACATATCTGTCTAATTTCTTACAGCCCTGAAAGCACATAACCAGCAGTTGCCCAGCCATGGCAGAAGGGGACGTCACCACGTTCACGGCCCTGACCGAGAAGTTTAATCTGCCTCTGGGTAATTACAAGAAGCCCAAACTTCTCTACTGCAGCAATGGGGGCCACTTCCTGAGGATCCTCCCAGATGGCACAGTGGATGGGACAAGGGACAAGAGCGACCAGCACAGTAAGCACCCATCTGTCTTGGAGCCTCTCACCTTTCTGGTGTCTTCCTTAGTCAAGGGTGGGGGAAGAGAGGATATCTAAATACTGGTACCCCCTTCTCCAGGGTCTATTAAGGCATGACACTCTCAGGGGCGGGGTGACATAAATGTGGAAAGGGTCTGGGTGTAGAAAATTGAGTTGTGAGGGCCAGAGCCTACCTAAAGGGGACTCTCTTGACTTACACAGCTGCTTTGAGATCAGATGTGGCGGCCAATGTTGAGTCATGCAGATTTCTGTAACTAGTGAAACCAGGGAACCGCCCCCCCTCCCTCCCAGGCTGGTCAGGGTCCTGTTTGCTCCAGGAGGGGAAGAGCCGCATGGGGCGGCGGCACTAGGCCTCACAAAAGACATGGGCTCAGGTTCAAGTTTACTGACTCTCCAGGTTACTTTCCACTGGGCTTGATTTGTGAAACCCTAGTTCAAATCGNTGACGTGGGCTCAGGTTCAAGTTTACTGACTCTCCAGGTTACCTTTCCACTGGGCTTGATTTGTGAAACCCTGGTTCAAATCGTAGACTTACACATCATAAATTATGAGCTTCTGCTCTGCGTATCATGCAGATGTGGTTGTGGTAACCGGGAGGGGTAAAGTCATTCCCCAGACCTTAAAGAAACTGGAGAGCTGGGATGATTCAAGCCAAAAGCTGAATATCTCTTCCGGGCTTTCCTGCCAATCCAGCTCTCAGACGGTGTTGATACATAGAGTTATAGCTTCAGAAAAAAGAAGCTTCTTGACTATCTAAGAATAAAAATGTCTTCCTTCTGCTTTAGTACTTCTGGCGTTAGGTGTCTGAGTCCTACTGTGATGTTATCGGGAATTCCCTGAGTTATCACTGAGGCATTAGATGTTATAGAGAAGCCAGAAGTCAGATCTGGTCCCTCCTAAGAGGCTCAAAAGGGCCAAACATCTCACAAATCAGGAGAAGGAAAGTATGGATGAAATTAGAAGACAGAACACAGCACAGGTAGAGAGTAATGTTCTGTAGGATGGCTTTAAAAAGGAATCCACAGCCCTGGCTGGTGTGGCTCAGTTGGTTGGATGTCATCCTGTGCACCAAAAGGCCACTGGTCTGATTTCCGCCAGGGCGCATGCCTGGGTTGCAGGCTTGATCCCCAGGAAGGGGTGTGCAGGAGGCAGCCGATCGACGTTTTGCTCTCACATCAATGTTTCTCTCCCTCTGTCTTCCTCCCCCTTTCTCTCTCTCTAAAAATCAATAGAAAAATCTTTAAAAGAAAAAAAATTTTTTTTAATGGAATGCATATCACTGGCTTTGATCTGATGGTCTGTATATCAGGTAGTCTTAATTATCCATGAAATATGCACCACAAACAGCAGGATCTAAGTACAAATGACCACTGCATTGTGCTCAGTCTCCACCCTCAGATGCACGGATAGTGGGGAGGGAAGCCGGTGTTTACAAAACCTTTGGCATTGTCCCTTCTTTCCCAGCCACTATGCAGACCCTGGAGCTGGGGAGCAGGAGGGCTGAGGCTGGGGCTCGCAGCTGCAGAGTTAGATGTACAGGGCTTTGCCTTGATGGCTTGTCTTCAAATGGGCCTTCTGAATGCCTGATCCCTGATGAAAAATAGGCACCAGAATGAGGCAAAAAAGACTGTTTAGTTGCTTCTGTCAACTGTACAGAAGCAACGTTTACTGCAAATAAATCTACTTAGATTGTAGTCTGTTGTGTCAGGCAAGCCACACAAGTTCTGTGATCTGCCCCACTCAACACCAGGGGAACAAGCTTTAATTTCTCTAAAGTTGTAAACGTTTCTAACAAGCTTTACCAATTTCCTGAACCAATGGGAATGCTCTCTGGTCCTCAGACTCTCAGGGGAAAGACAACCTTGGTGAAGCCCTCCTCAGGGTTGAGCTGGCTGTTTCGGGAAACCTTGAATTCTGGGGTAACAAGAGGTGAGGTTACAATTACAATATCCACGTACTGGAATTTCTGTGCAAATGGCTTATGTCTTCATTGTTGTCATTCCATCATCAACATAGAGACTGTACTCTGGGTAGGTAGGCGTGCTGAGGGCTCAGCCGCCTCACCTAGGATGTCAGGAACCCTTGGGATGCAGCATAAGGCGGCCTTAGGGGTGTGGACGAGGGGGTCCTGGATTCACTATTTGCCAGGTGAACCCGGGCAAGTTACTGAAACCTTCTGGCCTTACTATTCTCACTTATAAAATAATAATATCACTTGCCTCACATGTTTCTTGAGAGGATTAAATGAGATAATGTAATGAAAATTCTTGGCACAACCTCTAGGCCCAAAGTAAGCACATCTTGGTTAATATTGCTGGTGTTGTCACTGTGGTCATCACCAGGACTTACCCAGCAAATGCACTCCAGCATCTTCACCCCAGCATACACTCCAGCATAGTCACCCGAGCATAGTTACCCCAGCAGTCACCCCAGCATATACTCCAGCATGGTCACCCCAGCATAGTTACCCCAGCAGTCACCCCAGCATATACTCCAGCATAGTCACCCCTGCATAGTTACCCCAGCAGTCACCCCAGCATAGTCACCCCTGCATAGTTATCCCAGCAGTCACCCCAGCATAGTCACCCCAGCATAGTCACCCCAGCATAGTCACCCCAGCATATACTCCAGCATAGTCACCCCAGCATAGTTACCCCAGCAGTCACCCCAGCATAGTCACCCCAGCATAGTCACCCCAGCATATGCTCCAGCATGGTCACCCCTGCATAGTTATCCCAGCAGTCACCCCAGCATAGTCACCCCAGCATAGTTACCCCAGCATAGTCACCCCAGCATATACTCCAGCATAGTCACCCCAGCATAGTTACCCCAGCAGTCACCCCAGCATAGTCACCCCAGCATAGTCACCCCAGCATATGCTCCAGCATGGTCACCCCTGCATAGTTATCCCAGCAGTCACCCCAGCATAGTCACCCCAGCATAGTTACCCCAGCATAGTCACCCCAGCATATACTCCAGCATAGTCACCCCAGCATATGGAAACACAGTATAACACTTAGGACCTTCCCTGTGTTTTCCTCTTCCGTCGTACTCCCTTCCAGCAAGGCCGGGGGTCTAACTTCTGGGTTTGATTCAGTGCCTTTCGGACAACATGCAGAGCTGGGGTGCTGACCTATTTACTTATTCTAGGGCTAAGAACAAGGGCCAAGGACAGAAATCAGGGTAAGTGGGGTGAGGGAGCAGAAATCCCTCCCCGGACCGTGAGATGCCAGGAGAATGACATAATCCGCACACCCTCGGCCGTGTCAGGGCCTGGGGTTAAGAGTCAGAAAGCTCGAGTTGACACTCCTCGTTGGCCCTCTCTAACTGGAGCAGCGCTGGACAATGGCCATTCCCTCCATTCCACGTAAAGTGCTCTGCAAAAGAGCTTCAAACCCCCAGCCCCGTGACCCTTCCGATCATCCTCTCCTATCTGGAACTTTAGATGTCCCCGGTGTTCCCAACTGTCTTATCTTGTGGAACATATTGAGACTCAGTTTCCTCACCTGTGGAATGGGAATCCTAACACTGCCCTGTGTACTTCACAAGGCGGAAAATTCATGAGATCCTGCAGCTCCGAGGACGCCCTGGCTTGGATGCACCCACTGAATGTGGTTATGTCGCCCTCTCCTGCCCAGTGGCGGTACTGACACAACCTTTCTGAATTTCAAGTAACAGAATCAACCTGGACCTGCCTGGAATGGATGATCCCTGACTAACTGATTAGCACAGTCTAGCAAGGGGATGGTTTATATTCCTTGAACATTAGTTTGAGCATGATTAGAGATTGTGGTCACAGGTAGAGAGCCACACTCTAAGACTTCCTTCAGGAAGAATCATTTCTAAAAGCCAATTAAATATTTAAACAAATCTACATAAATCATGCAAGATAGAGCTGTGTGCCTGCCAGCTCTACAATGCAAAAACAAAACAAAACAAAAAAAAAAACAAATAAAAAAACCCTCCTTTCACAGCTTCTCTTTGTCCCCAAACAGCAGATCTGCCCTGGGCAAAATTGGGAAGTTTTCAATTTCATCTTCTACCTGAAGTTCCCTGGTACCTCACACAAGGCCTCCCCTGGAGTGGCAGAAACCTACAATGGATGCTTGTGCACAGGCCTCTGTAATGCAGCCCTGAGTGCAATGTCCCCACTGGTGGGGATTTCTGGCCTGTAGAGTAGATGTTTTTGTTTGCCCCTTTACAACTCCTCACATTACATGGTGGGCAGTTACCATTATGGGCTGTGAGCACTCGTTCCATTACCATATTACAAATGCCAGGAAAATGCAGAGAGCAAGAGCTGCCCATTTGTGAGAAGGGGCATGGGTACGGGTTGTGAAAAGATTCATGTTGACACCCAGGGCTCTCCTTTGGGAGATGGGTAAATGGAGATGTCTTCCTGGAAGAGGAACAGGTGCAGGGAAAGACATTTCAGGGGTGCCTCGTGTACCAGGCAGCATTCCTTAGAGTTTTAATTCCACATTTATTGTGTGACTATTTAATGGTTTTCTCCCCCCATGGGCTTCTTGTGGACAGGGACTTAGAGTCCAACAATGTAATTTTTGTGGCTAGCACATTGCCTGACAGTTGGTATAATGTCCAATAAACATTAATTTGATGAGTCCATGAATTGTACTGGTGGCAGATAGATCCAAATTCAACAATATATTAAATGCCAATTGAGCACCTGGATGTGCCAGGCTCTGTGCCAGACTCTATCATTTCTGCCTAGCTACAGAGAGGTTACAAATTGTCATCACTCTGTGAACACGAAGCTAACAGGGCCTGTGACGAGCGAGTAACTGGTAAAGCTCGGCACAGAATTCCCAGCTTCTTCTTCCAAGACTAAGGCTCTCTCCATACCCACTACAGCCCCCAAAGTCAACACTGTGATACTGGTTTTGCCCCACAAACTTATTAAATAAACATACTGGATCTATGCAACCTGTCTTGTGGGTCAGATGCATGTAGGCGCAG